GACCCCGAATCTGAAGGGATGTGAGGTACACGGCGCATCCGAGAAAGGGTCTAGTTGTTGCGCGCACTTCAACTACGGCTCCTTGGACAAACAACCTCAATTCAGGAACAATCGAGAGAATTCTGAAAGTGTCCGTGCGCATTTACAGGGAGGTGTACACCATTCAACACTGCGTTAACGGACTCTTCAGGGTTAAATTTATAAACATGTAACCTTTAAAGTTGAGAAACGCTAATCAATCACTTTTCTTAGAAAGAGAAAAGCAGTGATTCAAATCTGCTCTTACTTTAGTACATAATCGCCCTTAAAAGGATATACAGCCGTTGAAATAGTGCCAATGTAGCGAAAAAGTACCTTTCGGCGGTACTCGTGCGAAAATCCTCAACGTAGCCGTTTTTTTAATACTGGACGTTTGGAGCAGTTCTAGTAAGCATTTGATAGAGCAAATCTTCTAGTTTATGATGGCGTATTTACTTTTGGGATTGGATGAGTTTGAACGGAGTTATGGCTTTAGGAAGTAAAAAAACTCGCACTCATCACAAATTTTCCTCGTTAATTTTGCAAAAATCCTCAACGTGGCCATTTTTTGAATACTGGACGTATGAAGCTGCTTTAGCAACCGTTTGATAGAGAAAATCTTCTAGTTTTGTATGACGTATCAACTTTTTGAATTTGACGGAAATGAAGCAAGTTATTGCTCCGGAAAGTGTAAAAACTCGTGCTCGTCTCGAATTTTCCTCGTTAATTGATCTAAATTTGTTATTTCTTATAACTTTTTGTAATTTCAGTACTGATTAGAAAAGCTCTTCACAAAACTTCCAAATCTACTTTCAGATTGAAAATTCGTCATATTTGAAGAAAGTTATAATCATTTGAATATTTGTTCAAATTTCAATAGTAAATAAGCTGCTCCACGGTCAACGCCAAAGTCCAGTCAAGTACGCGTCGCAGAAGTACGACCCCCCCCCCCCCCGAAATCGAGATCCTGGCACGACCCCCTCTAAACAGAGGCAAATAATTTTCGGGTCTCATCCAGTAAGGGGGGCATTGTGATGCAACGTCAAGTGGCTGCCCTCACCCCCACACCCCCTGAACTGCCTTCACTCCCCCTGGCTCACGGGGTCCCGTACTTCGAGAAACCTGTGCGCCAGGGGGAGTGTAGGCAGTCTAGGGGGTGGGGGTGAGGGCAGCCACTTGATGCCCCCCTTGATGAGACCCTTCAATTCAATTAATTAATAAATCAAAAAAAATCCTGCAAAATAATGTTATGGACGCCTCATCTTGTCATCTATGCACTGTCTTTCATCGCTGCACACTTTTGTGTATTTACTGAAATATCGACTCGAGGAAAGAGGCATTAACTTTGTGTGACCTCAAAGTCAGGTTCGTTCAGAAATGCACAGAAATCCTGAAGGCACGGGGTTGCGATTCAATCTTGATTCTTGCTTGAGTATATCAAAACAGCCGAGTGTATCAATCAAAGGCCGATTCAACGGCAGCTGCGGCGCGATTGTCACTGGGTCAGATTTGCTGAAATCCCGAAAAAAAAAACCGTCGAAATCTACACCCTCGATGAAAAGGTTGCATTCCTCCATTTCATAACCTTTGAAGCAGTTTGAGGTAGGGTTAGATAGAGCTGGATTTCGCGTTTCCAAGAAGTATTGAAATTGCTCTGAAAGTCTTCCATGCAGAAAGATAGGGTCTCTCAAATTTCGTCGAGTAAACGTCGAGGACGCTGAAATTTTCACGCGAGTTTTTGCCACTTCAAGAGCAATATCTCTCTTAAAACGTGAGATCCTGAAAAAGTGAAGATAGTTTTGGAAAGCGGAAGGTTTGCGCTTTCTGATGGTCTTCTTAGCTTTCTTCTACATTTCCTAGTTGAGAAGATATCTGCGTCGAGTATGTATCGAGGACGGATCCGGCCACCTGAAAATCCGCTCCCTTCTTCACCATTGCAAGTGTAATTGTTGGCAACGCTTGAAATGGGTCTAGAAAACATCCTCCCAACATAAGCAATAGGAAAAGGGGCAATCGTCATCATCGAATTTTGTCTGAGTATAGGCCATGCATCCGACCTCACTCGAAGTTGCAGAATCGATTCGAAGGTGTCATATGATCATGACCAGTTGACAGAAGCTGCATTGTAGTAAACGCATTTCGTAACTCCTACAACCTAAAGAACAACTTCATTTGCCCAGGGCTTTTCCTTCACGGTTGTCGTTTTTGCGACAGGGTCCCTAACAACAGTGTCATTCTCAGCGAGGTATTAAGGGAGAAGGAGCGAGCGATAGGCAGAGGAGGTGCCTTTGCAGCGCGTGCGCACATGTGGCAGTCTTCTTTGCGGGGATGCACTTTCATTCTTTGTACTGCCTTCAAATACGCCCTTCTCATGAAGGTGGAGGAATGGAGCGACTGAACCTGCAAAGAAAATTTAATATCATGTTTTTTCAGATATTTTCATTTTCTGCTGCGCTATACCCTCTTACCTATCTGCACCACGATACCACTGCTGTTACTGACCCCAAGAGTACGACCCCCCATGGACCCAGCCCGACAGGTACGACCCCCCTGTCGAGGATTTCCTCGACCGATATTCACCCTGCCCCCCACCAACGGTCAACGCCAAAGTCCAGTCAACACACAGCTGGCGAAGGCGGTTAAAAAGCTTCTTTCAACTGAAGGGCTACGTGCAAATTGAGAACCACAATCTGTGTAGTACTAGAATTTGGTAAGTCTTGTGGAGGAAATAAATAAAGAACAGATGTTGGGTATGCCATTTTTAGTGGCTAGTTTGTCGTTTTCTGGTCTGTTTCTCGTTTGCTCGTTTGGTAGGACTCATCAGTAATGATTATTCTTTGACTTTTTCACTTTTGTACTTCTTAAACGAATTTTTTTGTGGGCGGTGGGGTAGCAGGGCTTTTTTATGAGCAGTTTTGGGGGAGAATTAAACAAGCTTTTCAACCTTTCATAGTTCGGCTTTTGAAGAGGGTTGTTTCATGGACTTCGGCCTCCGGCGGAGGGGTGGTGGGGGGGGGGGTCGTATTTCCAAATTTTCCTCAACGCCTCGCTTGACCCTGATCCCGACTATACTAATGAAAGGGACTTCCTTTGCAATCTGAATGCAATAAAAATTCGTCTTCCCTATTGCTAACCCTATCCAGATTCACAAAACCAGAGAAAATAAATGGATACATAGGGGTTTGAGGAGGAATTAAAGAAATGGAAAAACACAAAAAAAATTGTCTCGGCGTCAAGGAAACTTTAGTCACAGACCCTGCTCCTAGTACACGCCTACATACACCCTAGCTTGACGCACTTTCTTCCTCAGCAGCAGATATCTAATATGCACAAGATCGTTGAAGGAGCGTAAAGAAAAGCGGGAATCACTCTCGTTATGCTTTCTTTCAAGAGACTGCCCGATTCGTCCCTGCTCACTAATCCATGATTGCCAACACGTATCTACCCAGTTAGGACCCTCCCCATCTCATGTTTAAGTCTACTTGACTCGGGCTCAGCTTGGTTCGGCATTGTTCATAATTTAACAACAAGGAGAATATGCGGAGACAATGAAAGAATTATATCGATCGGAAGAATCGAATAAGGGAAAATATACAACAAAACGAAACGACATCAATTCGGGTAAAAATGCTTTTTGTGATTTTTGTAAATGCTTTTTGTAAACTCCTCCTATCATCCTATTGTCAACTGAGAACATGCATAGGTCGCGATCACGATTTGCGATTTTCGTGAGTATGTACGCAGCGATCATGCGATCGCACACCGCATGATCGACCACACTCGAACTACAAAACAAACTGCAAGGCGGTCGCAAAGTGTGATCACAACCTTAAAGATGTGTCCCCTACATACATTTTGGGAGAATCCACGGTCCTTCATATTTCTTAATCGAGGCAAATCTTTTCACGCAGAAGCACATTGCGTAGCCTGTGAGCAATGATTCATTGCCACCCCTTTACTACCATCAATAAAACGCAGCATCTTCGTAGAGACAACAAAGGAAATTCCAATATAGTTAATTCAGTAACTCTAGCAGTATAACGGACGACAAAAAGCATGAATACTTGCAACATTTACTTTTTTGTGAGTAATTGTATGGAATTTAGAACAAGGTCGCAAAGAACAGAAAATCAGCAAACTCATCTACCGCTATGACACGACGTCGTTCCCGGGGCTGCACATATATTTTTTACGAAACTCGATTTCTAAGCCAATAAACACTTGATAGAAAACCAGCCCACACAAAAGAAAACTCGCGCAATCGCCCATGTGACGTCACGGTCTGACCCTATCTACAGTAGTTGCAATCTGCCACGGACCTGCCACTTTGGCTGTTGAGGTAGGTCTCGTTCCGGGCGGTCTGCGGCTCGTTGCGGTGCACTGCGATCGGTTTTGCTCCTGGAATTCTTTAATCAAGTTGTTAGTGTTTAAGCTTTTTATGCACTACTTCTGCTTGCCAGATATAACATTTCGTTGTACTTTTTATAATGCGTGCGCAAATTGGTTTTTTTATTCTTACAAAGTCAGCAAGGAACTCGATTCGTCAGGGATAGGATCAAATAGTCTGTCCGCTCTTTTCTTGTAGGCACGCTTTTTGATAGATGTTTCTCACCATGTTTCTGATGTAACTGCATTTGATATAGTCAGCTTGAAAGTGTCGACCAGTCTTGTAGTGCTTTAGCCCTTCCTTATACGGATTCCGCTAGGACGTGCAGATGTCATCGATTATTTCGAAGTCATCGTCCTTCATTTAACATGCATCTATCATGCGTGAAATGAAAAGAAACTAAGGTACAAAAGACGTTGGCTTCCGCGCTCCGAACATCCCCTTAACTTTTGATGTCGCCCTTTGTTGAAATATCGGCGTTTTGTGTCAAAATGTTCTGTGCTGTATTCCAAACGAGGTTTTCAACGCATCCATGCCTACTTGAGGGGGGGGGGGTTATGGACAACTTTAACTTTCTTCTGTGGTCCTCTCACGAATGGTGGAAGTAGTCCGTCGACCAGTTGAGGGGCACTCGCTATCCCCTCTCAAGTAAGCTTCGTTTGTGGATGGAATCTAGTCTGGGCCAAACAGTTCCATCTAGAAACCTTGTTTAGCACACAGTAGACAGCAACTCCTCTCGAGTTACTCCGTTAATTGGAATATTGATCAATAGAGTTCAAATAGCTCAATTTCAGGTTAATAATGTACTGCCAGCGCCTCGCCGTCCCCTTGGCTCGCTCAATTGCTGTAAGTTTAGCTCTTTTTTAGGCCCATTTCAAGTTTTGCTTTTTGATTCTTAGATACAACACTCACATGAAGTCATAGGAACATTTTTTGTTTGAGCTTAATTTGACTATCAGATGCACAGTGAGTGTTGCGAACTTTTAAATCGTTTTGATAGTTAGGCATGGCCGTCCTGAACTCGTACCTTTTCCTTCTTCTGTTCAGGCTTCAATCTGTGTCCGATTACATTATGCCCACTAATTGAATAATCGTTGGATGAGAGAGGATAGAGTCACGTTGTGTGCCTCTCGGAAGTAGTGGTTTTGAGGGCAAGCGAGATTTCTGAGAATGATTTCCTTTCCCCTTTGCCTATGTTACTTTGTTTTCTTTCTTGACCATCCCGTAAGCGGAAACAATAGAGTTGCCCAATCTCTTGGTGTGGTCTTCTGGAAGTCTCCTTTTCTCCAGGTAAAATATGTGGATGCAAAATTATGAGGGGAGGGATGTGGCAGATTTCGGTTATCCCTTCACTTTCGGTCCGTACTGACTAAGCATGTTAAGGTCGAGGGTTTTGGAACAAGGAATTCCATTCACGCCGGTATCCCTGAACAACTAAACTGTGCGGGTAAATTTGAAAACCACAGTTCCATCTCCATCACCACAGTTGCGCGGGCGCTTTAGACTCGTCTTGACTCGCCGCGGCCGCGCCCCAAATCGTGAAGAAAGTGGGAGAGCCCCACCGTGCGCATGAAGTAATCCGTTCCTTTTATTTGCTGAATGGTCAGACGCTTTTTCTTGCAACCTGATTAGGTAGAATGCGTATTAATCTACGTTCCATGTGCTCGATGCCGATAACTCGCGATATCGACTTAACCTTGCAACAACTTTCGCTTACGAAGTATGGGTTCGGGCGTGCTTTGGGTGTCACACTTGAGAACACTCCATATTTTAGCATTTTAAGGACTAGCCAATTGATTGCCAATTATAATAGCTATTTTTGACAGTTGTGTTTAGAGCTCTTGAGAATTTCGTTTATTCACTTTGCCTTCATTTAACACCACTTATATTCTAGGCCAGCCGAGTACCTCTCGCTCTTCGTGCGGAGAGTGCGCTGGCTGCGCGGTGTCTCCATACCACTGTCGCCCGTAAGGATATTGACAGTGCAGCCAAATACATCGGAGCTGGAGCTGCTACCGTCGGTGTTGCTGGTTCTGGAGCTGGTATTGGCAACGTATTCGGAGCCCTCGTTATTGGATACGCTAGAAACCCATCACTGAAGCAACAGCTGTTCTCATATGCTATCCTTGGATTTGCCCTTTCCGAAGCTATGGGACTTTTCTGCCTCACCATGGGTTTCATGATTTTGTTCGCTCTGTAAGATTACTCGATATGGAACGTCTTGATCATCCCTATGTTTATTGTTATAACGAATTTGGATGAGGAATAGTTTTCAGACCATTAGGTTGAGATGAAGTCAATTAATTATTTTGTGTACAAGCAGTTGCATCGAAGTTGTTCCGTGGGTTGGTTTCCTGAGTGGTCAAATCAAGAAAAAAAATGATATATCGCAACAAAGGTTAGATGGCTTGCCAAAGAAATCGCCAATTGAGTGGGAGCCTGCATCGAATTTCGGTAGCCTGTGAACCGACAACAAAGTTGCGACCGTGGTCGGGAGAATGATGAACTCTGAGACAAATTTCGCCGTTGGCTCCCCCACTTTCTTCACGATTTGGGGCGCGGCCGCGGCAAACCCGGCCGAGTATGCGCCATCAGCTTACCTGAGTATTCGACGTTACATTACGGCATCAGCTTGCCTGAGTATTCGACGTTACATTGCGATACGTAATACGGCGATACTCGGCCGGGTTTGCCGCGGCCGCGCCCCAAATCGTGAAGAAAGTGGGGGAGCCTTCGCCGTTTATTTTCCCTAAATTCTTTAACTGAGTAAACATGGAAGGTCGCAGTAAGAAAGTCATGGTGAATGGCGAAGCGATTTTGACCCTGCAATATTCTACCATCTGCAAGGTTCTTACTATGGCTTTGAGAACTGAATGCGGTGTCCACAACTTAATCAGTACTCAGAGAAGCATGACCATTACGCCTTCCCCAAAACTAGCAGAAAAATAACACTTTGGTATACTCAAACTCGATGCTTCTAATTGGATTTCAAGAGTACAACTGAGTTATCAAACATCTTGCTTAAAGCCTTCTACACGAGCGATATTACTGATCGTTGACCGTTACGTTGTTTGAAATACTCTTCGTAAGGGTCTTCTATATTCAGAGTTACTGGCTCAAGAAGATTGTCCCACAGTGAGTCGAATCTAGATGCTGATTAGGACTAAATCAGTGACGGTGGATCTCTTTGACCTCGACGGCGATGACGGATGACTTCGTATTTGAAGCCGACGACAGTGAGCAAGGGCTTGCTTGTGCTTATGGAGAGATTTTAGGAGCAATCTCTAAGGTAACTCCTCATAGAACCTCGGCATTGATGTTAAAGGAATCCCAAGACGTTCTTTCCCAAATAGTGTGTCAGTTGTTGTAACTAGAAGACACGTACACACGTTTCACAGGGCACAAATTATTCGTTAGAGGAGACCGATTAAAAAACATCACTATGTACAGTCGAAGGTAAGTGGCGCGGAGCCAAAGGCGGGGTATGGAAAGAAGTCTGTTTTAAGGCGGCTATCTGGCGACGCAATGAAAGAATCCGGCTAAAGGTTCGTTTGGAGAATAGTGACATAATCGATGAGATATGGGTCAGTAGAAGTGTGGAGCAAGGTCAAAAGATGTTCTCAAAGGTAGAACTCTGTGGACCAAGTGGAAGCATTCACAACCGCCAGCACTTGTGACAGATGTCTGGCGGGAATTTGAACGCGTAGCAGTTTCTCGGTTTTTTCGAATTGTTTAGGAAAACAAATGCAAACTTTTTCTTCTCTTCGTTCATATCGTGAACGGTGGGTTTCAAGCCATTGATTTATGGGTGAGGTGTGATCATGATTTTTCCGTGGATTCCTTCCTTGGTGAATTTCTCTTGCCAACGAGGTTTTTGTGTGACAACTTTAACCCTTCCCGGACCGCCTGACACCCACGGGGTGTCAGGGCTGATTTCTCCACACGGAATTCGTTTTTCGACAAAGTTGTTACATGTCTGTTAATATTATCATGTCGAACGTATGAAAAAACCTAGTCTTAGATCTCAAACTAGTTCCTAAAATAACCAAAAATTAAATGGATTTCCACTTCGAGCTAAGGGAAAACAGTTATAAATCATTTGAAACACTTCATACAACAGAATTATGCCATCACGTGCACGTCGTATCTGATGCTATTGCATCCAACGTTTCGACATTTCTGGTGCGTTATTTTCCCATTCATTACAACTTATTTTGAACAATTTCCATTCCTGCCTTACTTTTTATGGCCCTATCATGTTTTTTATGCAACTGTTTCTACTCAAATTCATCACATAGATACTCTTAGACATGACAAATAAAAAAACGGGATAAAAAATGGTGTTGATGGAAATAAAGGGCCAAAATATACTATACTTATATTCGTCGCGCAGCACGCGGCGGTAATCATAAAAAGGCGCCGACCACATTTGCCCGCCACGGCAAAAGTGCGCGGTCCGAAAAGGGTTAATAATGTTTCTATAAACTTGAACTATTATCTACTTATTCACGGAAAGGGTTTATAATGTTTCTATAATTTTGAACTATTATCTACTTATTGACGGCCTGACGTTCCGATCCGATCGTGTTCCTCGAGGACATAAACGTTGCTGCAAGTTTAGGAAAATGGATCTACACCGCCTGTTCCTGGCAGAGCGATAGGAAAATAACCGTAAATTAGAACGGATGGAAAATACCTCACCAGTCTGCCGACCGCAAGAACGCAACACCGACTCTAATATACGGTCAGTAAATGAGACATGCAGTGCTCTTTTCGGATAGATGCTTTAGTTTGGACATGCACGTCTCATTGCTCACGTCAGTAGCTGGTGGGGGGTGGCGGGGGGGGGAGAGGGTGCAAGCGACAAGAGATCATCTGTGTAGGATAAACACTCATTTTGGTTGTTCACTCCAGGATTTTTTGTGTGAATCCAGGAAGCCTCAAACGCTTTCCTAGCAAAAATCTCGGTCCCGTACGTCAGAATTTTGCACTTCACATCAAAATCTTTCCCGTAGTGCTCAGCAACCGAACGCTTGTCGATCTGATCAACCAGATTAAATGTGATTTATGCAACGCAATGTACATTGGGGAAACGGGAACTCTAGCAATACGCGTCAAGGATCATCTTGCTGAGGAAAGACGAGGCGATCTGCAGCACCTCGAGCAACCATGGACCACGAACGACCTTGAAGTGCGAAATTTGGCGCAGGAGGATTTCTGCTTGGATAAAAGCTGGAGAATTCTGGCTTCACGAAAGGAATAACTAATACTGTAATGATTTCATAGCTTCCTTCACAAGTTTTTGCAGATCTCTAAGGCAATTAAAAGTTAGAAGAATGAGCCTTCCGAAAAAGTACAGAATTTTTCAAATATCACTCTTGCAACACGCAGTCCCGTTGTTCCGGTTTTCCTTCCTGACTTCGGTTTTTTAGTGCCAATTTGCCCGAACGCGAAATTTGACCTTCAAGCGCTCGAAGTTTCTTCAAAATCGGTATAAGATGCAGTAAAACCCATTGGAATCTACAAGACCAGCGATTTGTAGCATATGCCAAATCCTCCTAAAAGCGTTGAAATGGGAACTTTTCTTCCGGCAGAATTTCCTATCAGGGCCCTGGAAGTCAACCCGCCGATTTCGCTGCACTTTCTTCCTTTTTTTTGGTTTGCTCTGAAAGCTACGAAATTCCTCTGCAAGAACCTGTTTGCTTGTGCTCATTAGAATATGAACTGATCTAGTAAGAACTGCTCTGGGATGCGCCACTCAATCATCTGTGATGAGTAGTCATAGTGGTAACTGAAAGTCTGCCCTCCTTCGCCACGTTGCCGCGCCTTGGTACCTTCAAATTCTTGAGCTGACGCACCCCTGCTCCGCCCCCTTCTAAGGGCCAGACGACCCTACTCAATGGTCCTTGCACAACAAATGGTGACCGTGCTTGTGCCTCACCCTGTTTTTGAGATGAGAGAGGTCCAAGCTGCGAACCTTTTACTTTCATAAATGTACAGTAGTGACGATCATTAATTCAAGAATATACATCTGTACAGACGATAATAATCACATTGTAACTAGCTGACAAAACTAGCTAATTTGTTGTATAGAACTACGCTTATTTATCACATCAAGAGGAAAGGAATGACGAACTGGGTCTTCTGCACCACGACGCCGCAACTCGAATTCTCGTACAATAAAGCGTACGGAGTCGCTGGCAGAAGATACACGGCGAGGACTTCGGATGCACGAGGCCGAATGTGCTCGCGATCCGACAGTTGTGGGAGGAGCTCCAGCACGTCCGTTAAATTGAGGCGCATGACGATGCCGTGACGCCTCCAATAGACCCGCAAAGGTTTGTAACTGCTCCATGAAACCCTGATAACAAAATATTCTCTCCAATATCACCCAGTGAAAACAAAAACAGAAGGTTGAGTCACGAACCTTATTCGGAGTGATACAGTTCCTCCTCTTTTTCACATACGCAAGGGCATGTTCCAAGCTCCAACCGTACTCTTTCATAGCATATGCTATGACTGTCGATGAACTGCGACTGATTCCTTTTTTGCAATGCACCAAGCAAACCTTACCCGATTCTCTAGAAACAATCGGTAATCAAAGCATATCCGAAGGAATCGTTCACTTGTAAAGGAACAAAAAAACCTACTTTGCCTCCTTGATAAAGCTGTAAGTGAGGTTCCAGTTGTTGAGAAGGTTGGTACTTGCCTCATCGGATACTGAGATCTTTACATACTTGAAATGCATCGGAAAGAAGTTGTCAACCTCTCGCGTCATATTGAGAATGTACCCAACACTGAAAGAAACTAAATCAAACGAACCAAAAAATTCAAACTGAAACTGGCAATGCAGTGGGACTGCAAAAAAGAAGAGATGATTCGAATGGAGAAACTGTAGACGTACTTATTTTGATTCAGCTCCTCCCAGTTCGAGGCATTCCATTCCGTTCCAAGCAATAGGTATGGAAAGATACGACTTGGCTTATCCATTTGACCCAATATAACCAACATTTCACGGTCAATGAAATCCTAGAAGTCATTATATAACACCCACAAGGAGGTGCAAAAAGTAAAATTTGACAATACCTTATGACCGTCAACGCAGCCTACTCGTTGTGCTAGGGTTTCTCGAATGTCTCGACTTGTAACGCTGTCCAAATCTACACTTTGCATAATTTGTCGCAGTTCTCGCCGCAGCAGAGCTTCCTGCAATGACATATGTGGCAATACATTCCATTAAGTGAATTTTGATTAGATTTCTGGTCTCATTTTGTACTTCTTCTTAGTTTAAGAAAGCACCAACACCCTTGAGTTCAACTACTTCATGAACAGGCATGCCCCTGCATTTGCCAATACCTCGACATAGATTAGTTCTGTAAAACTGGCCTGGAGAAAATTAACCGGTGATATTTTTGCTTCTAAAACACCCGAAAACCCTTTGCTCATAAAGAGTAAACATGCACACTTTGCTGAAAAGAATTGAATTTCCTTGGTGACTTATTTATTCATTTGTTTATTTATTTATTACTGCACTCGTCGGTGCGCTACAATGAATTAGTCAGAAACCAAATCAGTTATAAATCGGAAACATATGATGGCTTTCAAGCTGTGATGTTTATTGAGAAAATCGAGACGGTTCGAAGTAAGTGGACCGTCGCTTAAGCCATTTTTGAAAGTTCTATGAGTTCCACCCCTCTCCCACCTTCTAAAGGGTCTTGATAAGACCTCCTCTGACACAATTACGAACAGTCACATGGAATCTATGATGCACCGGTGCTCAAAATGTATTGGGTTGTTCAAAAAGTTCCTGCCAAGCTTCAGCGATTCGAATTTAAGTCTGCGGTTCAAACACATAATTTTTGATCGAAATAAAGCTGTTGTAATTCCTATACGGTGCCAATTTAACGAGAGATGAAGGAAGTCGAAATGAAAAGAATAAGTTAAACTGTTTCCTCACAAATATTGTTTTCTGTCAGCGATACAATCGTTCACCGACTACTGACAATCGCTCCTACCCCTCCATGAGCCAAATACCATTCCCTTGTTCGACTGTACAAACAAACGGTGAACCATAGCTCTTGGTCCTTTAGAAATGCGCAACCGCTTTCATTTCGCACTCCTTCCGACTTCGTTGTTCGCTGACGCAACGCTCGATCCGCGATTCGCTAGCGAATCGCTCGATCGCGAACTCGAGACCCGTCAATAAGAACGGAAAAGAACAGAAATATTGCATTTGTTTTGGTAAAAAAAAATTCGAAAAATCGAAAGGGCTGCTACGCGTTCAAAGTGCCCACGGACGTCTTTCACAAATGCTGGCGACGGGGATGCTTCCACTTGGTTCTTGGAGTGCCTTCACTAGAAACTCTTTCTGGCCTTCTGCTTTATTGCATTCACATCTTACACTTCTACTCCATCCTATTCTATCGATCGATTTGTCTCTACTCTCCGAAATCGCGCTTTAACCCGATTCTTTCATTGCGTCGCCTGATACGTAGGCGCCCCAGTGCGGACTTATTCCATGCCCCGCCTTTGGCTCCGCCCGAATTACCTTCGATGTCCATAGAATGGATTTTCGTGAGTTTGTTTCTCTTCGGAAACCGAACCTTCATGCGTAAAACTTTGTGTATTGCATCTAGTGATCACAACTGATACATTCATGTTGAAAGAATGCAAGAATTTTCCGCGAAGGATTTCTTCAAACTATCATATTCCCGTGAATTGCCAAGGTTTTAACACGTTGACGACAGCGTGACGCGGTAACGCGTCCCACCCAAGTCATCCCTTTTTCTTGCGCTTGTGCGACTTATTCCTAAGGTCTTTGTACTCATTCTATAGGTCATACATTAGCATACTTAAAACCACATGGCTCACAGAAAGGCCAAATATTCTTTAGTTTGGCAGACGTTTTCCTTACGGATATGTCTGTTCAATTCATTCCTCGTTTTCTTTTCAATAACGTAGACATGTTGATAAAAAGGAATAACAGAAGTGAATACAAACCTATTCGTATGGGAAGATATGTGTTTTTACTGAAACAACCACGTCCAAATTAATTTTGGAACCACTAAAGGGAAATTAAGTAAAATTTCCCTTTTCATGGCCTTAACACGTCATTTCGGTCAAACTTCCATTACTGTAACTCCTGATAAGCTAGACAGATCGAACATCATTGAAAACACTTCATCGCATCTAAGTATTGCGTATTTACAGCTCAAAATCCATGGATTTGGTGTGCGGCGGCTGCGCTCGCAAAATCGCTCTGGTCCCACGCGGTGCAAAAGCACAAAACGCGCGATGTCGTCAACGTGTTAATAAATTGATCAAGTAATGCAGTTTTGCATTTCATTTATGGATCCCCCTCAAGGTAGAGCTGAACTGAAATCACACCAAAAAGGAGAGAAACGGAAACCTTTGCTCTCCCTTCTTCGGAAAGGTGATCTCGTACAGTGTCGGCTTTAAGCTCGTCTTCATCATCCATCTCCATTGAAGACTGCTGCCTGAACCAATAACAGTCATGAATGTAGTAATATCTCAAAAAGGGAAAAAAAGGTTTACTCACCATTGCGCACAAAGGAAATCAGGGGACGTTATTCGATCCATATAGTGTTCAGTTGCCGTAGCAGGCTCGCGAAGTCTGCGGGTTTCACGTTGAGTACCTTCGAGCTCTTTGTGTAGCGATTGAAATACAAACCTGCAATCGAACGATTCACATAGCGTAACTTTCTTATCCAAACTGCAGGTTTTGTATTTTTTTTTCATAGTGAAACCATACGATAAGCAGTAGCAAAAAAACTGATTATACAAATCCGAAAATTAGCGCGCTAAAAACTTGAGCCAGTTTTCGTCATCATTGGAGAAACACCAACTTTTGAGAATATTTGGTTTTTTTTTTGAAATGAAGAGAGATATGTGAATGAGCTTGTTCAGCAGATGTCAACAATTTCAAAGCAAAATTCACTTCACAATAGCAGGTCATTGGTTGAAGAAATTGCGACATATTGTTCTACCAATTTGTTCTTTTTGAAGTATGTAACTTTCAAGAAAAGTATTGGTGAGATCATTTGAAGTGGTGCGGTTTTGTAACACTTGGTTGATGTTTTCTGTTAATGATTAGTTATGTTGCTGTTACATGTGTGTTTTCACATGTCCATAAATAAATAAATATAAATGGCACTATTTACCCTTTACTGCCCCACTCCTCGAGAACTGAGCCGGATTTTTATCGAAATTGGTCATTGACTGTGAATTTGGCCAGAAACTTGCCTTCGGGGGTAATTCGACCCGTAGAACACGAATATCACATTTGTTTACCGCTAGAACGCCTGGCGCTCGCGTCAGAAGCGCCGGCGCCAAAAGGCGCCAGAACATCTCGGATCCCCAAATTCGCTGGAAAGTTGTCCTCAGAGGTATTTTGACCCGTAGAATATGATTATCACATCAGTTTGTTACGAGTGAACCTGTAGCCTGCGCTACGAGCGCCCGCGCAAAACTGTTGTGATAGCGCCGGCGCCTGTGGCGCGGGCGCCAAGCGTTTTCGCTCTAAACCGGTATTATATTCGTGATCTACGGGTCAAATTACCCCTGAAGGCAAGTTTCTAGCAAAATCCACAGTCATGGACGAATTTCGATCAAAATCCGGCTCAGTTCTTGAGGAGTGGGCGTAAGCTAAGAGGCGGAAACAGGGCAAAATCCTACTATATATAAGCGGCTAGCGTGTGTCTGTTGGTGTGTGTGTGTGTGTGTTTGACCGGAAATTCATAGCTCGAGTCACAGTAATGATAGCGCAGTGGTTCTTACATATGTTATAGGGGGTGGGATGGGGACACAAGTGGTACGTGATAGGAACTGATAACGACTGATAATAGCTGATAAGAGGGGCTAGAAAGCGAGCATCGCCAATTTCGTTTTGCCGTTCATATTGGTAAAGAGCGTCTATACTTACAAGTCTTATGTGGGGGTCCCGGGACATTGGTGGTACATGATTGGAAGCGATAGCAACTGATAATGGCTGATAAGATGCGCTAGAACGCAAAAGTCGTCGATTCCGTTGCCTGGCTCGCGTTGACACCAGAGCAACCATACTTACAAGTGTTATGTGGGGTGGGACGGGGACATTGTTGGTGGGTGCCAGAAACTGATAACGATTGATAAGGGCCGATAATGCGCCAGAACGCTGAAGTCGTCGATTCCGTTGCCTGGCTCGCGTTGACACCAGAGCAACCATACTTACAAGTGTTATGTGGGGTGGGACGGGGACATTGTTGGTGGGTGCCAGAAACTGATAACGATTGATAAGGGCCGATAAGGCGCGCCAGAACGCTGAAGTCGTCGATTCCGTTGCCTGGCTCGCGTTGACACCAGAGCAACCATACTTACAAGTGTTATGTGGGGTGGGACGGGGACATTGTTGGTGGGTGCCAGAAACTGATAACGATTGATAAGGGCCGATAAGGCGCGCCAGAACGCTGAAGTCGTCGATTCCGTTGCCTGGCTCGCGTTGACACCAGAGCAACCATACTTACAAGTGTTATGTGGGGTGGGACGGGGACATTGTTGGTGGGTGCCAGAAACTGATAACGATTGATAAGGGCCGATAAGGCGCGCCAGAACGCTGAAGTCGTCGATTCCGTTGCCTGGCTCGCGTTGACACCAGAGCAACCATACTTACAAGTGTTATGTGGGGTGGGACGGGGACATTGTTGGTGGGTGACTGAAAGCGATAGAACTGATAAGGGCTGATAAGGTGCGTCAAAAAGCGAAAGTCGCCAATTCCGTTACGCAGCGTTGACACTTGAGCGTTCCTACCTACAAATTGTATGCTTACTTAATAGAATTCATTCGACTGCATGAACCTAAACAAGTCTTCAGCAAATGATAAGTTTCATTTCTGATGCACTATCAAGAAACCCAAACTCATTAAACCGCTAATCCATTCGGGGTTCTAAATAATGGTGAATGTAAATGAATGATAAGCATTAGCTCCTCACTTATGTAAATAGGCATATTTCGTTTTTATTTTGAGACTGACAAGAAAATCCTATTCACCGCTCGATTATCTTAATTCAAGAAAAATGCTGGATGTTTACAGAGTTGACTAATTTCCCAGTGTTAGCTGCAGAGTGATTCTCGATGAGCTTCACTGAAACTGTGGAGGGTCAAACATAGTCAATAGTGAGATCGTTAATGGAGTATCTCATGCCGATATTCCATGGGATCTTTCAGTTTCGCAAAAGCCTGCCGTGTGATGCGCGCGATAGCGGGCGAAGCAAAACTGGTAAGTAAGATAAATGAATGATCTTCTAACGCGGCATTGCCTCATTAAAAGGTTATAGGCAATTTGGCACTATTAACTACTACAACCAGAAGTCAAAAGATCGCTTTCATTCTGTTTAACAGTCGTCCAGAACCCTTCGCCCTTTCTTCTGCTTTGCTCCAGTAGCAGAAGAAAGGGCGAAGACCATGATATTTTTCCTTCAAATTGAATGGCATTCCCATACAAGTTATCAGCCACATAACTACGAACTTGATATGGAAGGCAAGGCACCATATGACCCTGGTGCCGAAAACGAGTGTATGCTCACGATCAGCACAACCAATTACTCTTGTTAGAGAAATTCCTGTCCATTTTTGCGACAGTTAGGGGGTGTAATGGCTGACCAAACAGCGTCGGGAATTTTTTATTCTCCTTTGTTACTGTTTGAATCTCCATCCTGACTTTTTGTCCGCAAGATTTACTATAACATAGCGCAGCCAGTTGTACTGGATCCATCTGGATGGCTTACATTGGCTGATGCATGATCCATTTTAAACAAGCGAAATTCGCAAAAAATGAACCACTGGTTATTATCGGCAACCAAATTACCAAACCCCAATCGGATTTCTCGCATGTACTGCGCAAGAATGACCACTCCATAGGAGCCAGTTATTTTTGTTCCCATCAAATAGCTTCAGAGGTGATGTTACGAAAAAAAAACGATGCCCATTGGATGTGAAAGTAGAGGTAGGAGAAGGTGCAACGATCAAAAGAATCCGAACGAAAACGGCTAAAAGTACGTGAAATGAAACCACAGACGCTGATCTCTCACCACCAACCAATCACAGCCCGATCCCTTCCGTAAGAGGTGGCCGGACAATGGCTGGTGGCGCTGCCCAAGTTGAGGGTTAGCTACGTGGGTATGGACTCGCCCTTTGCGCCGACGCATCCACTACTCACTTGCTTGGTGACCTGCCGTCCTTTCCCAGTGCGCATACCCCCTAGCCCATATCCCATTCACCGTAAGGCTGGTGTCAGAGTTCGCGATCCGCCACACGATTCGCGCGAATCACACTACGGATCGTGGACTCCACCAGCCTGACATCCTTCTTTAAAGCGAGTTGCATTTTAATGGAAGTCAAGTCATCGGTTTCACGTGAAGAGCATTGAATTGAGAGCAACAGATCGCGACGAAAGTCGTACCACATAGCTTGGACGGAAACGGGTCGAAAAAGAAGGGCGTTATCTGCTTTACTAGATGCACCCGATCCGTAAACAGCGACTCCGCCGTCTCCTGCCAATTCCACACGACTGCACCACAACAGTGGCAGAACTACACCTATCCTGAAATATCGTGAATTCCGAAAACGAATCAAAAATTAAATGAAAAATAAGAACAGAAGACTTACGTCATATGGCCTTTGTAATAATCCATTCCAATCAAAAGTGTTAGTTTCTCGACATCATGGGTTGACACAACGGCAAGATATCGAGCGTGGTCAGAAACCTCAAGAAAAGAATTTACAGTCGAGGGACTACGACTTTTATAGAAAATCTGATTGAGAGCTATTAAAGTGACGCGACCAATCGATTGCCATAGAATCCAGGAGTGTGCTACGGCAGCTA